ACTCACTTCCAGCACCTGCAGAGAGGCGATGTAGGGGTGAGAGTACAGGTCTGCTGGACTCCCGTTGATGATTCTTTTTTCTGACAAGACGGATGCCGCCAGGCACAGCAAGATGACCGCGACTACCTTCATGGCGTCACTCGCACAAGGACAAATAGGTGGTTGGCTGTTGGGCTGCTGTGTCCTGGTGTGGTTACTGCAGCTTGCAGACAGATGATGGCTCAACAGAACTCTGTCCCCTTCTTATATACTGGCCCTGTGTTCGGAAACGGTGGTCTTTTTTGTCCACGTGTGTATTATATGACATGTAATTGACCACTATCAGTAGCAATAAACGTACAAAACGTACTGGTTATTCATTAATTTATGATATCTACCTGGAGGTTAGAGAATTGTCTGGTAGTATATCTTGGATTTGACCAAATTTTACAACATGTTGTCTTTCGCTCCCTCTCCTAATTTGCACTCGTTTTCTTTGCACCTTGTCCGATTCCCAGGCTCTTGTTTTGATCTATGAGAAAAACATAAAGTATATTGGGTCTCAAACCCTAACTGCTTCAGTAAGCTACGTCAGTGTTGTAAAAGTAGTGAGAGAAAAAAGAAAAACAGCACTGGGGAACTCTCGAGAACTTTTTAGTCACGAATTTAGCCAAGACCTTGCACACAGGAAACGTTTGTTTGATTCCAACGTGAGAAAATTTGTCATACAGTGCAAGTTACGTTTGCCTGCAATCATGCTCTACCCGGGGTTGTTCAAGACAACTTTGTCTATTGGGGAGGTTTTTCAGTTTTTCAGCCGTATGGTTCTTTTAGGGACGGACGATACAATTAGACTAGCTGAACTTCCTGGTGTCTGTGTTTGGGTCTATGTAACCAGACACAAGCCATAGGGGAAGTGGGGGAAAAGAAGAATGAAGGGTGACGAAGTGAAATAAAAAAGATTGGTGAATCTACATAACATCTGTGATTGGCAGGGACGTGACATTCCTCAGACATCAAGTATTGTTTTGATTTGAAGAACTATTTGTGAAACGAGCGCAAGTTCAATAAAGCGACAAACGTTATTTTCTTGTATGAACTGGCTGCTGAAACGGAGGAGTGTGATAAATGTTGTACTCCAATAACATAGGAAACTGTCTAGATTGTTTGTCTGTGCTACTGGGAGTATTAATTACACACACACACACACACACACAC